GTGTTCAGTATCTCTAATAGACCTGATTATGTGGTTTCTAACACACTGTCATCTATAAACATGGACTAAAGTACATTATCATCGCTAGTTGCTTTGAGGCTTAATTTGTCCACATTTTTGTCAATTGACAGTGCATCAGAATCCACATAAACAAGTCTGTTAGAGATACTGAACAGCTCCACAGTTTGAGTGAGTAATAATGTAGATGTGCAGTTAGCACAGTGCTAATTGACATCCATAAGCACACATTACTTAGCTGTCTCATAGCTTCAGTGCAAAACTGAGGAAGCAAACTTGGTACACCAAACATGTCAATTAGCATGGTGCTAACTGCATAGCTAAATCATCACTCACCTCAAACTGTGGAGGTGTTCAGTATCTCTAACAGAGCTAATTATGTGGTTTCTAACACACTGTTATCTATAAACATGGACTCAAATACATTAGCATTGCTAGTGGCCTTGAGGCTTAATTTGTCCACATTTCTGTGAATTAACAGTGTCACAGAAACCACATAATTAAGAAACCACGTAATCAAGAAACCACATAATCAAGTATATTAGAGATACTGAACACCTCCACAGTTTGAGTGAGTGATAATTTAGATATGCAGTTAGCGCCATGCTAATTGACATACACAAGTGCACATTAGCTTGTAGCTTAAGTCCAAAGCTAACTTCACACACCAAACATGTTTTAGCTGATTAGCTCCATTTGGGGTAGAGAGGAAGCTGCTTTTAAGGAGGCGTCTTCAGTCCATATTTGACCGTTTAACAACAGTGTGTAATGCTACAAACATAGCACAATGGCAAGACAGTAGGATATGAAGGCTAGTACCAGACAAAATGTGGGCAAATCTGTTCATAATCTTTCATGACCATCTACGCTTCTGCAAAAAAAAACTGCATGCTACTCAACTTCTATTTATCTATGCTTTGAACTGTATATACTTGTCTGTAATCACTTAATGTGAAATTCAGTGGCAAACTTAATATTAGTGTCACAGTTCGGACCATAAATGTCAAAACTCTCTAAAATAATGCTTATTTCTGCTAGCGCTCCTGTAGGATTCTAGTGGTATGTTAGTACTAAGGTAATGGCAATTCACACACGTTTCTTTGCTGTTTTAAACAATGACATTTGAAGCTTATAACAGATGGTAACATATATCTGAGCTTATATGCATCAGTTTTACAGTGACTCTTTCAGTAAAGAGTGGCATAGAGCTGTCGCCGCTGTTTTACATTCCTAACAACTAACCAAAACACTGCTTAGACTACGACTTGCATTCAAAGTCAGTGACGTGTCTAGAACTTCTAGAAGGACTACAGAGATTTTTTTCAGAAAATGCTCAAAAGGGTTAAAATCTGGAAACACTCCATTGTAAATTAAAGCATGATTGGTTGGTTGGTGTCATTTCCTAATTATGTTGGTAGTTAATCTAACATGCAAGTCCGTTCAGCTCCTAAAGCCTAAATTAATGGAAAAGCTCACTTGGCTGAATCTACCTAGACACCACAAAGAGAACAATCCTGATTGGACAATTTTCTCTTTTGGCATTTCAAGATTTCAACCCTTCTGTTGAAACATAACAATAATCATTACTACTGTGGTGTTCACGTTTTAAGAGGAGGTCAAGGGCATGCAAAGCTAAACAAAAAATGAGGCTTTATTGTCAAGGACTCAAAGTCGATGAACAGGATACGGTCAAGAGAGATAGCCAGAGAGGTCAAAATACAAAGAAGGACAAGCATAAAACCAGGCAACCAGATCCAAAGGACAAAGACAAAAAGACAAGGTCAAAGAATCCAAGGCAGGTCAAAAAATACAAGAAGACAATCAGAAAAACCGCTCAGTAGTTCTCACAAGAAGAAACAGAACCTCACAAAGAAACTAATCTGAAAGCCCGAGCTTTGTACCAACTCTGACTAATCGCATGACCAGAAGAACAGGTGAAAATTAGTAGATTATTCAGGTGAGTGTGAATGATGATCGGAGCACTTTGGAGAGTCAGCTGACACGTGATCTCCCAGAGGATTCTGGGAGATGGTGTTCATGGACGCTTCAGAGCTGGAGGGACGCCACACTACAACACTTTCAGAGTTTAAATAAAACAAACATGATGATTATATCACTCTCTGAAGGCCTCGAAGGCCCTGAGGGCAGATGAAATTATATAATAGGTGCACGTTCAAATAAGAAGGTAATAATGAGGAAATTGCAGGTCAACAAAAGCCTGTCACGATGATTTCCTGCTAACAAAATTAACAGGCGTTTCAAGCTGTTAATAAGGCAATCCAAAATTAGTTTTATGTTTTAATTCCCCTTATGTTTTGCTATCTACATCATTCTTAAACATTTGCAGAAGTTTATATGATAGATAACACTGCAAGACATGAACACACCTAGCAAGTGCGCACATATGTTTTACTGGCACTGCAACTTGTATGCCTCTGATTCCTGATTCACTTAATTGCAGTCATAAAAGTAACTTTATAAGCCAGAAGAACAAATAATCTGCTCTTTGACATCAACCTGATCATTAAATGAATGAAGGCATCAAGACAATCACTTCAATATATCAGCGTAAAGTAACCCAATAACTTTGAATAGCTTCCAGACTTCTCCTCAAAACACCAATAATCAATATGAGCTTGCCTTTCATTCCCTCAAGAGCATGAATATGTTATTCTTGTGAAAAATGACAAGTGCTGAGAGCCAATCTGAAAAAAATGACTAGAACTTAAAAGGCCTCATTCACCAACCGTTAAGTTTAAGAAATTTCTTCTTAAAACCCACTTACGAAGTTTTCACGATTCTGACGTTCACCAGTGTTTTCTTATTTGAGTAAGAACAGAATCTACACACAATCAAGAGCACAAAGATGTGAACAGTTCTGCGCTTTAAGAACACGTCATGAATCTGACGTAGACTTTTTCTTAGGACCTTTCTCAAGAACACACTTAAGAACAAACTTAGAAGGATATTGGAGAATGAGGCTCAATCTTCTCTTTTTGTTTATATACTTTGGATATATATTGTTACTGTCAGAACAAAACCTTGTCTCCAAAATGGTAACTTTACAGGGGAAGAAACATACTTTACATTTAATGTAAGTCAATGGAACCAGACTTTTTTACAAGTAACTATGGGCCATTTCTTTTGGTCCATTCCTCATGAAATTCACCCAGAGGTTTTTTTACACAAAGGAGAACAGGTACCTTAAATTATGTCACTGAAAAACTACAAAAATGGAGATATGAGGTTTTGTTCCAACAGCAGCGATATATTTATTTGCTTAATTTTAACACACTGGGAAAAAAAAAACAAATTGTGGCCTGTGCAAAAGTCATGGCACATTTTGTATTTTAGGATTTGTCCTTTTCCAAAATGTCAAACTTGAAATTTTGCACAGAATTTAAAGCTACACTATGTAAGCTTTGTGGTGGAAATGTATAATTGTTTTTCCCTTATCAAGCGCGAGTGGATACAATCAGATTACAATGTTTTGTAGTGTGGGTTGTGCTTCGGCCTACGTCCCCAAGCAGATGAGTCTGATGAGTCAAAGAGAACTCTAAACTTGGTGAAGGAGCATCTTCTGAGACGGGGAGTGAATTATCTACTATTGCCATCACATCACATCATAACATCAGTATAATGTTGATTTTGAGATCATTTGAGGCCTACATCGAGCCGGACCTTCTTTTTGAGTCTGTGCGTGTGACGTTAATACGTAAAGACATATGATGTGGTGTGAAAAACTCCCTAAACCAAATGATTACAGATCATGTGTATTAGATTAGTGTTGTAGCTAAACTCTGCATGGAGGTTGATCTCCAGGACCAGGACTTGGCACCACTGCTGTAGACTGTTAGAAATAAAGGTTCTGTCCAGGTGCACTTTTTGTTCATCAAGGTACAAACAGTGTATATGTTCTCTCAAAGGTACAACAGTGGTTTTAAGGTCCAGTTGTGAATTGTGAAGTTTTTCCAGGTGAAAAGTTTGTATTTGTACCTTTTTATAACCAAATGTTTTAAAACAGAACAATAAAATAAAAAGCCTGGAAATGAGACGGGGTGTGTGGAGTCAGTACAATTTCAATGCATTATGATACACTTATGTTCCCTGACTAAAGGTACTGAGATGTACCCTTGAGGGTTCCACCCCAGTAACAGTGTACCTTTATTTCTGAGAGTGTAGAGAACATTGTGACTTATTCTCACTTTGAAAATCTAATTTGACTGGGGATGTTTAAAGGTTTGCATATGACTGTATCCAGCATCCAAATCTAATTTACTAACTGATTATGTGTCCAGATCGAGTTACAAAAACAACACCTGAGTCTGCAGGGTGTGGTGGAGAGAGTTATGCAACGTCTTTGTTGGGCTGAAGTTTCTGAAGGACATAGCTATTGTTTAACTAGACTCGTTTAACAGGTCAAACAGCATGCACTGAAAGATTAACACCCCTCTTCCACCTGTCATTCACTGCACTCCAGAAATACTCACTGTTTTGATTAGACCAGTCTGAGTACATTCATGCGCTTGCTAAGGAACACATATTTATCATAACATCTAGGTCACATGGGACAGTTCTTTCAAACTTAAACAAAAGAAGGCTGAAAAGGCCATTGCGATTTTAGTATTTGGTTGTTTATAATAAGAAACTGTTACTGTAATAACTGGTTGAGTAATATTAATAGTTAATAGTTTATATTAATATATTAATATTAATAGTTTATTCACATATAGAATTGTCTTTTTTATTGCTTATATTAGAATATGCAGTGCTGTGGGAAGTTTTTGTTATTTTTTTGCTGACCTCTGCAAAAGCACTCCAACAATACCTTTAATGCAACATGATTCAATTGATTATTTAGTTGACAAGGCCGGCCGAAAGTCCCTAAGAGTCCCACTCACTGAGGTCAAATGGAAGTTGCTGTCTATTTATCCATATCCTCAAACATAAAGCAACAAAAAAACATTAAAGGCTTTTTATCATTTTATTTTTATTTACGGAGCACAATCATAAAACTCCTTATGTTTTGACATAATTTCTCAAAGCGTTTGCTGATACTTCACTCCTGTTAGTAAAGCAGGTAAAACACCTACACGTCTGAGACAGTGAAGTCAGGGAGCTCCCCCTGCAGAGCGAACTGGAATGGTACAAGCCAGCACCCCACACTAGGGGATGAAGGGAGTCGGTAGTCAACGGCAGTACTCCTGCAATGAAAAACAACTCAATTCAATTCAGTAGTTTTATTCAACAGCCGTCATCTCAAAGCAGTTTGTCCAGACAATATGAGTTCAGCCCCCTACTGTTGGACAGAAGTCTGTAAGAGCATGAGGAAGAAACTATGAGAGGATTTAAGACTCAAAAGAAAGAACTGGAGCATGAGGAAGAAACTCTACACTGTTAGAAATAAAGGTTCTGTGCAGGTACATTTTTCTTTCATCAAGGTTCAAACAGTGTAAATGTTCCCTCAAAGGTACAAAAGTGGTTTTATGGTCTGATTGTGAACCTTAAATAAGTTTTTCCAGGTGAGAAGTTCGTATTTGTACCTTTTCATAACCGAATGTTTTAAACAGAACAGTAAAATAAAAGCCTGGAGGCGAGACGGGGTGTGTGGAGTCAGTACAGTTTAGAACATATCATTTCAGTGGATTATGATTCAGTTATGTTCCCTGACTGAAGGTACTGAGACGTACCCTTGAGGGTCCCACCCCAGTGACGAGAGGGGTCCTGCCCCAGAGACAGTTTAGTACCTTTATTTCTGAGAGTGCAGGAGGAACTTCAGTATAAGAACAACTACATCAGGAGTGCACCAACAATTTTGTTTTTTGGGGGCCAAAATATGATATTTGTGGTGAAAATTACACTGTACACCTGTATGCAAAAGCTTAGACTAATTTACATGTTTTGTTCCTCCTGCACTCTCAGAAATAAAGGTACTAAACTGTCTCTGGGGCAGGAAGTAAAAATAAATAAACACAATGTACTTTAAATGTTTTTCTCTTCTGCAAATGTTAATAAAGAAATGCTTATATAGATGTGGCATATGCAAAAGTTTGGACATTCTTCCATTTGTAAAGTCTCAGAACTCGTTAGGTAAGTCAGGACTGGGTAGGCAGAAATGTCAAGAATTGTCAGCAGGAAATGTCAGCTAATGAGTGCTTCACAGCATCATAAATTCTCTAATTCTTTAAACCTCGTGCCAACACACAACAACTATGTGGATCTGAAAATGAAGGTAAATAATGCCTACAAAGCAGGAGAAGACAAAAAATACATCAAAGCGCTTCTAGCTGACAATTTCCGTCATTAAGAAATGACAGTTAGGGGGAACTGTGGAAGTCAAGGTAAGATCTGGAAGACCATGAAGACTCTCAGATAGTGCTGACCAGCAAGGCAAAGCAAAACCCCCACATGGCAGCAAAGGATCTGCAGGAAGGTTTAGCTGATATAGAAGAGGTAGTTCTGCATTGCTTGCTATTGTGCAACATTGTGTGATTTGCATGGAAGATTCATCAGAAGGAAATTTTACCTGTTACCTCAGTTCAAAAGTCAATATTTGAAGTACGCAAAACAACATCTAGATCAGCCAGAGGCGTTTTGGAAACAGGTCCTGTGGACTGATCTAGTTAAAATGAAACTATGTGGCCAAAGGTATGTTTGGAGGAAAAAAGCAGCAGCATTTGCTGAAAAGAACACCGCGCCAACTGTTAAGCTTGAGGGTGGATGTATGACTTGGGGTTGTGTAGCAGTCAGTGGCAGATGAATCGTTGCACAGGTAGACAGAAGAATGGATTCCACTTAATATCAACAAATTCTGGAAGCAAATGTGACACAGTCAATACACTGAAGCTGAAAAGGGGCTGGCTTTGACAAAAGGACAACAATTTAAGACATACCTCAAAATCCACCACAAACTATTTGAACAACAGTGAAAATCTGTGGGTACATATTAAACATGCTTTGATGGCCCAAGAATAACTAGAAGCATTTTGCAAAGCATGAGTGAGTGAAAAATATCTGCCAAAGGGAGTGTCACTAAGTACTGACTTTGGAGGGTGTCCAAACTTTTGCACACAACTGCCACAATTACTATTTAATTGTTTTTCCATTTTTAAGTTCATTGAATATAAAGTAACTATGCGTTAACAACAATTGTTGCTCTACTCTAAGCTTCTGGAACTACTTTGTTTGGCAGAAGAATTTGCTCATTTTAAAAACATAAATTTAAAACAATGTTTCAAATATATTTTTTCTTTATTTTGCAAAACAGTTGTACCGAAACAACAATGATCTACTGTGACCAAATCACAAATATAATGTTATTCACAATAATAAACCCCTGAGGTGTTCTATTGCTTAATTTACATTTATTTACTGTACTTACCAAGATGCTTTCATTTCCTTCTCATTGATTTTAATCAGGGAGCCTGGCAGTTCCTCATACTGAAGATTGTTTTTTGCTTGAAAGCCAGAAACAAATGACAAATGAGTTATTAGCAGAAATAATTCATTGTGTAGAGGAGGGTATTTAACTCGAGGCATGAACACCAGACCTGCTCAGTATCATTTAATCAGTGGATTAGAATTCATAAAGAAATAGTTCAATCAGAAATGAATACTTTGAATATTGCTATCATGATAGACATCAATCAGTATTATGCAAAATATGTACATTATTAGGCATGTTAGCACATTTTGTTAAGCAGTTTCTTTAATAACTGATCCACTCAATTAATGTATTATTATTATTATTATTATTATTTTTGTTTTCAGAAAAACAGTATTTAAAACAACTTTTTAGAAAGTAAATAGAAGTGGCAACATTGATTACTATGTACATAAGCCCGCTATAAATGTTATTATGTGTAACATCTATGTCAAGGTTATGTTTATAAGGCTGCTATATAATGTAAATAATATTAAATGCTATTATGTGTACAATATATGTCAGGGTTATGTTTATAAGGCTGCTATAGAATGTAAATAATATTAAATGCTATTATGTGTACAATATATGTCAAGGTTAGGTTTATAAGGCTGCTATATAATGTAAATAATATAAAATGCTGTCATGTTAACATATATGTTGAGGTTATGTAAATAAGACCACTATACAATGTAAATTATATAAAATGCTATCACATGTGACATGTATGTCAAGGTAGTGTATATAAGACTGCTATATAATGTAAATACAATTAAACACTGTAGTGGCTGCCACTTGCTCTGGTTCGGGGAAGGGGCTCTAGAGGCATAGTACAGATATCTGAGCCGAACGCTCCGCCTCCCCCTCCTTGAAGGGATATTAAATGTTGTTGTTTTGTGTTAATGTGACTTTTCATTGCTTGAAAGTGCAGGTGTTTTGCTTGTGTTTCTGTGCTGAGCTGTGGTTATTTTTGTTGTGGCTCTTTGTCACCGCAGAGTGGAGTCCTATGGCTAGAGGGCGCCTTCTCTGCTAAACGGGCTTTTCTAGTGGTGTTAACAAAAAGCAGTTCTTGTAGCAGAAATCACGGCCTCTTCTGGGTCTCCATCTTTGACAGGACACTACAACACTACTATGTGTACCGCTGGGTTGTGTATAGTAGTTTTCTACATTTGCATTATACAATGTAAACTCTAGAGATTCTCCTACCCAGAATTCCTTGCAAAGTGACACCGCTTGGTTGTTGGCGAACAGCAGGCCACAGAAACTTTTCCCCATTTTTCTCGTGATGGAGGACGACGACACGCACGGTTCCCATGGTAACGTCTACTTCATTTTTTCTCAGAATCAGAGTCACACTGTAGGGACAAAATTAAAATCACCTGAGCCTCCCACAGCAAGAAATAAAAAAAAAAAAAGGGTTTTCATGTCAAATTGGGCAAAATAGATTCAGACTGTGTAAACATAGACCAGGCGTGTCAAACTGGGGACCTTCCGGGCCAAAGTGCTGCAGAGATCAGCTTTTACCCTCATCTAACGCTCTGAATTCAGCTCATGAAGGCCTTGCTAATTAGCTGATAAGATGAATCAGGTGTGTTTAATGAGGCAGTGAGCTGAAGTCTGCGGTGTTTTGGCCCACGAGGACTGGATCCTGACAAATGTGATGTAGGCCATGTTAACTTCTTAATGCTGAGGCAAAAAAGTGTGCTTTTAATCTACTTAATTTCTGGCATTTAATCTACTCTACTTTTCCCTTCTAATGTGACTTATCAAAGCTTTTGTAGCATTTTGTTGATATGGAAAGAAAAATCTAATAAGCCCAAGAAAAATCAAATGCCACAGAAGGCTCTGCAAGTGGTCTCAGTCATATCGCTGCAGAATTCATACCTATCGGCCTCCTGCCTGGTGATCTCCTGCCCCCAAACAAACTTTACAGTTTGCTGGGGAGCAACATACAGGATGTCCACAGGGCTCAGGCGCAGCATATGTTTCGAATTTTTGAAACGAAGAATGATTAGCTCAAAGCCTTTTTGTGAAACCAAGCCATTCATGGAGAAATCTGTGGAAACAGTACAACAGTGAAGGAAATACTGGATGTAATTTCACAGATTTTTCAAAACTTCTGCATAAGTCAATCTTTATGTAAAGTCATTGACATTCAGAGTGGTTTGGTGTGATATGGTTTGTTGTTCTATAGACATTTTATTTACTATCCAAAACCACCAGTGAACCTACACGTGTCTTCTGAGCTTTTATATGTCATGTTCATAATGGCAAAATAGTGAAAAATCTTTTTCAAAAAAGTTTTTTGGGGTATTATTTGGCCTGCACGTACCCCTCCACCATAAATAAACTTCAAAAAGTAATGTTTGAGACCAAAATCTCAAAACTATCATAAAACAGTGTCTCAGTCATCAGGCAGTGAATTCATAACCATTTCATGTAGTAACTTTCTGTGAGGGAGCTTTTAGAGGCGGATGCCTGGTTTCTATCACCACCACTGTGAACAGTTCTGACACAGTAAGCATTTCTCCACTCGGAATGGCTAATTACTCTGAATTTGAGAAATCAGTGGAATTTCCCTTTAACATAATTACCTGTGTAATAGTTTTAAATGGCTAGTTTGACCAACAGTGAATGAAAGGTGTCAGTCAGCACTGACACATTAACGGACACCATTAAAGGGCCGAGTTTATGGAAAAACACATTTTTCTTACTTTTTGAAAAAAGAGTTTGATGCAGTATGAGTTTGAAACCACACCATTCACCCCCCCATCCATACAGTCCATATTTGGAAACAAAGCTGCAAAAACAGCCTGTTTTGAATTGGTCATTTTTTGTGATGTCACTAACACCGAAACATTTATATACAGGGTGATTCAAACAGATTTCAAAATTATTTATTTCACTTGTAAATCATTACAATACAATGCAGTAAATTGTAAATGGTTTAAATGAGCATAAAGTTTATTATGTAATTTTACGAGTGCTCAATATGAACCTCCTCCAGCTGTACGGACAACATCAACACCATAGTCAAATTCATCCCATACTCGATTGAGCATGTTGGGTGTCGCTGCACTCACGGCTCTTTGAGTGCAATTTCAGAGATCATCCAGTGTTGTTGGGAGTGGCACATAAACAGAATCCTTAACGTACCCTGACAAAAAAAGTCACACGGTGTGAGATCTGGTAATGCTGGTGACCTTTTTTTGGAACTGTTGGTGCCAACAACGAATGCTCTGAGCTGTTGGAGGTTCAGTCAGAAACTCTAAGACCCCCTCTTTCAGTTGGTATGTGATTGGTTCCTAGGCGCCTCACAGTTGTAAAAATATATTGCTTTGAAATCAGATGAGTCTTTTTGAATCGCCCTGTATATCCACCTATTCAGCCTAAAGCAGTTTAGCTCTGCCCATTTTTTTAACTAATCAATCAGTCAACCTTTATGTACATTGAGGGTGACCCTCATTTACAATGTTGCCGAGTTGATAAAGAAAAAAGGGACTGACAATGTGTAATAACATATCAAATAATTTTCGTAAATTTCGTAATAAAAATGAGATCTAATGATTATAAAAAAAGAAACGTTAATGATAAAAATACACAAAAATGAGTAGAAAATGTAAAACGATAATTAAAGCATAACTAAAATGTAAAAGTTTATAAAATCAAAAGAAGATGAATAAAACACAAGGAGGATAAGGAGGATATTTATATGTAGGTTATACAGAATGATTACTTTTTGAATGCAGGGCAGCCTATCAGATTCAGAAACATTTACATATATCAGTTTTAAATGCACAGAAACAAAAACAGCCTGTTTGATTCTAAGGGATAAAGAGAGGTTGGAAAATGGTCAAGTAAAAACAAAATGTCTGGTACATAAAGGCACACAAGCATCATAAGGATACAATGCAAGAGAAAGTGTAGGATGTGGGCCCTTTAAACTTCCTAAATGTAGCATTGTTTGGCTGAACTATTTCTTTAAACCTGTAAATGGTCACGGGCCCACCAGCAGGCCCAAAGTTTTATTACACTCTGATAAAACCTAAGAACAGCTCAGCCAGTTTGCATTGAAGTCCCTGTAGCTACTGAATAATAAGCCTTAAAAACCCCTACGTACAAAAAAGGGCATGAGCCAGGTAAGTGGATGGCCTCACCTGAAGAGGGGTCCATGAGAAGGCGGAGTTTGGGAGCTACAGGTAGGTCATAGCAGATCGGCTTTGCCTGATCACGAGAAGAGATCAAGAATCTGATGCTGCCCACTGAGAGAAAGATGAGTGGAGAGCATGAATGTGTAGAATAGAACAACTTGTAGACTGAATGGAGGTCAGAAATTAAAAGTGCAGTTTTTTAAAGGCGCTTGTAGTACCTGGAGCGGGAGTGGTGGGAGTAGTTTTAGTTGAACTGTCCATGATTCTGATCATCATTGGAAGAGAATCTGAAAACGATGTTTAATCTTACACAGACGTTAAATAAGTGGATTAAGGCCATAAAAATCTGAACATTCAATACATAAGAAACAAAGTGAGGTACTGCAGACCTACCATCATATTCCATGCCCTCTAACAAGAGCCCAACAAAGATGAAACAGAGGAGAAAAGAGTGAGAAACAACAGGTTTAGAAAATCGTTCTGAATAATTGGCCTTTCGGGCTCTTTTACTTTGCTAAACTACTGCAACTGTACTGGAGTTAAAGGGGAATTCCACCAATTGTTCTACAACCCCAATTCCAAAAAAGTTGGGACGCTGCGCAGAATGTAAATGAAAATACAATGCAATGATATGCAAATCATATACTATTTGCCCGTGCAGTCTTTCACAGAGTGGTGAACCCCTCTTCATCGTTGCTTCTGAAAGACTCAGCCTCTCTGAGACGCTTTTTCATACCCAATCATGTTACTGATCTGTTGCCAATCAACCACCAGGTGTAGCATTACACAACTTTACCAGCCTTTTGTTGCCCCCCGTCCCAACTTTTTTGGAACGAGTTGTTGGCATCAAATTAAAAAAGGGCATATTTTTTCAAAAAACAATCAAATTTCTCCTTTTCAACATTTAATATATTGTCTTTGTACTATTTTCAATGAAATATGGGGTTTAAATAATCTGCACGTCATTGCATTTTGTTTTTATTTACATTTTGCACAGCGTCCCAACTCTTTTGGAAATGAGGTTGTAAATTTCTGCACGATCAAGTGGTTAAGATGTAAACAGAGTCATTCAGAGTGGTTTGGTGTGAAACTTACTGAGTCAGAACTGTTCACAGTGGTGGTGATAGGAACCAGGCGTCCACCTCTAAAAGCTCCCTCACAGAAAGTAAGTGCATGAAATGTCAATGAATACGATGCCTGATGTCTGGTTTCTGATCGTTTTGAGAAGAATTTTGGTCTAAAATATATTTTATGAAACCCATTCGTATCAAATGCATGCAAATAGTTGAAACGGAAACTTTTTTCAGATTTTCCACTATTTTGTCATCATCAACATCACTATACATATAAGTATATAAAATGGCTATATTTGTGTTGTAGATATCATGACTCCTGGTTCCTATCACCACCACTGTAAAGACTTGGTAAGTTTCTCCATAAGGAAACATTTCACATCAAACCACTCTTAAAGACTTTGTTTACATCTTAATGACTGAATTATGCAGAAATTTGGTGGATTTGTGGAATTTCCCTTCAAACAAATAAGCAAAAGTAAACTGTACAGGATTTAAATAAGTGACTGAAAAATAATAGCGGATGAAGAGGGGTCCATGAGAAGGCGGAGTTTGGGATCTACAGGTAGGTCATAGCAGATCGGTTTTGCCTGATCATGAGAAGAGATCAAGAATCTGATGCTGCCCACTGAGAGAAAGATGAGTGGAGAGCATGAATGTGTAGAAAAGAACAACTTGTAGACTGAATGGAGGTCAGAAATTAATCAGTGCAGTTTTTTAAAGGCGCTTGTAGTACCTGGAGCGAGAATGCTGGAAGTAGTTTCAGTTGACCTGTCCATGCTTCGCGTCATTGAAAAAGAATCTGAAAACGATGTTTAATCTTACACAGACGTTAAATAAGTGGATTAAGGCCATAAGAATCTGAACATTCAATACATACGAAACAAAGTGAGCTACTGCAGACCTACCATCATATTCCATGCCCTCTAACAAGAGCCCAACAAAGATGAAACAGAGGAGAAAAGAGTGAGAAACAACTGGTTTAGAAAATCGTTCTGAATAATTGGCCTATCGGGCTCTTTTACTTTGCTAAACTACTGCAACTGTACTGGAGTTAAAGGGGAATTCCACCAATTGTTCAACCCCAATTCCAAAAAGTTGGAACGCTGCGCAGAATGTAAATGAAAATAGAATGCAATGATATGCAAATCATATACTATTTGCCCGTGCAGTCTTTCACAGAGTGGTGAACCGCTCCTCATCATTGCTTCTGGAAGACTCAGCCTCTCTGAGACGCTTTTTCATACCCAATCATGTTACTGATCTGTTGCCAATCAACCACCAGGTGTTTTTTTTTTTTAGCATTACACAACTTTACCAGCCTTTTGTTGCCCCCCGTCCCAACTCTTTTGGAACGAGTTGTTGGCATCAAATGAAAAAAGGGCATATATTTTTCAAAAAACAATCAAATTTCTCCTTTTCAACATTTTGTTTTTATTTGCATTTTGCACAGCTTCCCAACTGTTTTGGAAATGGGGTTGTAAATTTCTGCACGATTAAGTGGTTAAGATGTAAACAGAGTCATTTAGAGTGGTTTGGTGTGAAACGTTTGGTGTGAAATCTTAATGACTGAATTATGCAGAAATTTGGTGGATTTGTAGAATTTCCCTTTAAACAAATAAGCAAAAGTAAACTGTACAGGATTTAAATAAGTGACTGAAAAATAATAGCGGATGCTTTTTTGAAGCTGCAACAATACATCCTGCTTATTGATATGTGTACCTTCCGCTTCTGCAAAAAGAAGATCTGCTTCTGGAGGTCCGTGTGGAAATACTGTACACACAGACATACAAACACATACAATTCCAGAGTCAGAAAAGGAAGAGAATGTTGAAGATATACGAGGGAAATTATTTGATTGTGCATTTATTGCACTTAAGAATGCAAATTTCTCTCTGATTATATTTAAAAGAGACTGCTAAATGGAGAAAAAAGCGTGTTGCACATGCCCTTTATCACACACACTGCAATTTACATACCTACCATATTCACTACATACTGACCACCCACTTCATTCAAACCACCACCTTGTTTCTACACTTATTGTCCATTTTATCAGCTCCAACGACCATATAGGAGCACTTTGTAGTTACAGACTACAATTACAGACTGTAGTCCATCTGTTTCTCTGCATACTTTGTTAGCCTGTTCTTCAGCGGTCAGGACACCCACAGAGCAGGTATTATTTAGGTGGTGTGTTAGTATGTGTTGCGCTGGCATGAGTGGATCAGACACAGCAGTGCTGCTGGAATTGTGTCCACTCACTGTCCACCCTATTAGACACTCCTACATTGTCAGTCCACCTTGTAGATGTAAAGTCAGAGACGATGAGATTTGATCAGCTTTAAGGAATATGGGCCAATGTATAGTCCTCACTTTTACCAAATGATCCACACTGTAGCCTCACCAGCAACCAAAATCTTCCTCCCTGAGCTCCTTCATCCTTACTGTCCCTCTCAGTCCACCATATTTTCCGGCTCTGGACCTGCAGTCCCATGTTCAAGGCTTTCATCAGTGGGTGGCAGGTAGCTAAGTGCTGCTCCTAAACTACAGTAACTTTGCGTCTGCTCTACTTTCTCTTCTTTTAAAGCTCAACTTCCTCTTTACTGTTCCACACTATACCTCTTTTACCCAGTTCCTAGTGTTTGTGGGGTTTTTGCTGTTTTTTTCACTCTCCAGTGTAAAGCATCCATGGGTTTGTGGAATTTCTGTGGCTGTTTTTAAATAGCTAGATTATCAGGAAACCAACGTTTAGAGATATTTTAGTGTACATATTGTTGCATTTTTCTGCAAACTTTTGTGTACAATTTCCATTTATTTGCTGAGTTTAACATATTGGATGTACATCATCTAACCAGGGGCACCCAAACTTTTGTAGGCTACTGTACTGTACCTGTATTTACTCTGGTTACCTTTAATCTATCATGCAAAGACATCAATTTTGCTGGTCTGTCGTGTCTCCATTTACCAGAGTCTGGGCGCTCCCCCTCTTTGGGTTTATGGGCAACATGTGTGTCCTCTTCGTGGGGCTTGGTGACCACCATGGAGGTCAGTGGAGTCACAAACTTGTACTTAAGTGAGAGATCCAGGGCTTCTTTCTTGGCTGCTTCTTTCTCTTCTTCCTCAAGTGTCACTCTGAGACATACAAATACAAATGTTATCACTTAATCATTTGGGAATTGACTTTTTTCTAGGGAAAGAAGAAAAAGCTTTTTCCCCTCAAAATAATTCTCATTAAGTTCTCCAGCATTTTCATGTTTTCTGTCATTTGTTTCATAGGAAAAGAAAGAAATACAAAAGCACATACTGTCACTGCCAGAACGAAATCTTTTATCTTCATTTTTGTTGATGTTTTTAAAAAAAATGTTGCATAATTTGAAAATGTCAACTGCTGTTTACATTGTGTCCAAATAAATTGTGTCCACTAAAAATACAATCTTGTTACATTAACTTGCATTGAAATGTAAGATCATTTTGCCCCTCCTACTGTAAATGTATTTTTTTGGAGATACGAGTTTTTGTTCCAACAACAACAATACACACAAATAAAAACGCTCACTCTTTCTCCAGTAGCTGCTTCACTGTAAGACAAGCCCACAATCTCTGGATGAAGTTGTCGTGTTGTGGCAAAACATCGACCACGTCTTTTGTTGATAAAGAGTCCTGGAAAGTTACTTCATCCCTTTTCTTCAAAGAATAAAGCAAAACGTAGAGAAAAAACGAGAAACAGCTTGGTACTGTGCTTGTTCAGATAAAGACCCTGCTGAAGAAAACAGCTGAAACAAGCATTATTTTCATGCTCATCCATGCTAATTTAAGCAGGTTTTTGCTTGTCTTGTGCTGGTCTGGACTAGTTGGTCACCCAGCAGGTTCAAGATGGTTGACCAGTATCCACAACTTTTGCTATTTTTTTTTGTTTGGCGGTTTCGTTTTGGTGGTGACCAGCTATGTTCATCTAAGCAAGGGAGTGAAGTTGTCCCTTCGCTAACACACCTCATTCTACTTGGTAATCATGACTGGCTGCAGTGAAGTGAAGCTTGAGAACTGGTCTTACTGAGATTGCGATGACCTCTGTTTGGAAAGTCTCCAGGCTGTTGTCTGTGATTTGTCCAGCTACCACGATCTCTGAGCCGTTGTAGTAGTGGCTGAAACTGGTCTGGGTGAGATTTACTGCTCCGATATAGTTCAGTTGGACGTCAGTTAACAGAGGAACGGCCACCTCCTCAAAGAAACCCTACAAAACATGAAGATGGTACTGAAACACTGCTTAACAACCACTGTACTGATTCATTTAACTGCAAAAAGCTGCCACATCCTATCCTACCTGTAGTTGTAGGTCAGCATCGGAGTCCTCATAGATCCTGCGGGCGAGTCCATTGTTTTCCAGAGCCATTTTCTCCAAGAAATCAAAGTTGACATCAAATCCGAACCCCAGACAGTACAGAGGAAACGTTCCCTTAATAGCCTTTTTCACATTGGCCTGAATCCTCTCTATGGCAGTTTCACCTGTGGGACAAAGAGCTGGCAGTAATGGGGGGTTCTCCTTTCTGAGTAAACCAATGAAACAAAATAATCCAACAGGATCTAACTGTCTATACGTCAGGCTTTCTAAGTGGTCCATCTATGGTTGTGAGTGGTAAATTGATGTTTAGCTTATTCTATGGAACTCGTTGGTCTGTTTATTGACTAAAATCCTTTTGCTGTGAGTCTCTATACCTTAATTCTGTTTATTTTATTAAAACAAAGGATTAAACATTCCATTTTGTCACTAACAAAACAATCCTAACACTACCTGTGTTATGACTGTTTCAATATTAACAATTTTAGCTCATTTTGAGCAGAAGTCAAAAACACTAGCCAGTACATGACCAGCCAACACAGCTTTGAACAGCTGTTCACACATAAATTCAGAATATCTGAACAAATCTGGACAAAACCTTGTATTTCCATTTTTTGTTTTTCATTTTTTTTGCCATAATTTCAAAAGGCCAGTTGCCCTTTATGATGTGTCAAAATTCTGACAAAGAGAAATGGTCCAAAATTACTTGAAAAAAATTATTTATCCATTTACTTCCATTAAAATTTAAGACAGTTTTTCCTTGTCCTGTAAAGGAGATACGAGGTTTTGCTCCAACAGCAGTGATATATATCATTAAACATAAAAAAGTTAACTTAATTGCAGAAAATATGTGTTTTGGCACTGAAAATTCTTAATGTTCAACACTGATTTTCAGACACATTTACTCCAAAACAGTGGGATCTAATTGCTCACCATGCGGCCATGAGGGACAGTGATGCAGCCTCACTTCCTGCTCTAAAATGGAGGGGCATGGCTAAAACAAGGCTCCACCTTCAGACTAAAACTCAGTGTTTTGGTAGTGACATGAAAACGTGGGCCAGCATTTTTTGAATAAAGTTTTACGTACTTAAAAAAATGAAACTAAATCTAAACACTTCAAGGTTTTTATTTTCACAAGTGTAAATTTAGGGGTGAGCGTTTGGGACAGACAACTCCCAATAGTACAAAAGTACCCTATAAATGATGACTTTCTGTATATTTAACATAATAATGATGACTGTGCAAATATTTAGCTTATCACTTAATTAATTAACGCCTTAGGTTTAAATAGATGGTTTTTATATTTTTTTCTGTGGGATCACAGTCTGAACTAATTTGGTAGAATTCTCCATATATTAATACTGTGATACCTGAAATAATCAGTAAACCTCAGCTAAATAGCTAATATGCATAGGAAAAAAGTTACCTTTGAAAGATAAAAGACAAAAATATTAAATCTGTTATTCTTGAATTCAGTCTTAGTTTTATGGCTTTAAGTCCCTGCTCTGTGTTAAGGGTCTGACTGTCAATGCTAAGAAGATGCTTTTGCCATTGTTTTCTTAATTGGTCTATCCAGCAGCATTTTAAGCTGCATTTTATTGTATGAAAAGTCCTATTTAAGGAAAGCGTGTTATTATTATTATTATTATTATTATTATTATTATTGTTATTACCGCTAGTTGGGTCTCCGTCAGTCAGCAGGATTAGGATGGAAGTGGAGCTTTCTCGTGGGTGTCTGTTGATCATCTCCGCTCCCTTCAGCACTGCAGCATTGATGTCTGTAGCTGAGATTAGATATTTTAAAAGTATTGCTTATTTGGCCTGTCACAATTATTACATAATATTATATTTGAGCTGATTGCAGTTATTTTCCACAGTGTTAGCATTCACATTCACAGTCATATTCACAAGCATGTTTTCGGAACCAACAGAATGTCACTGTGGGTGCATTTTTCATTTTTTTAAGCATTTTAAAGTCAAACTTACTGAGTTAGAATTGTTCACAGTGGTGGTTAAAAGAATCAGATGTATGAGTCATGTATGAGAGTATGAGATTTGATGATATACAAATCTATGTCTGCACGAACACCATCACTAACCTGCCTCCCCCTGTCCTAATATCTTGTATTTGAGACCTCAAAGAACGGATGTAAAGTCATCGGCGCTGAGTCTGTTACTGCAAATCCTACTAATGTCACACTTAATTTGGAGGGGTGACCGTTAGACCTTCAGCTGTCGTCCGTGACTTAGGTGTACTTTTCGATCCTGTCCTTTCTTTCGAACCTTATATCAAGACTTTGGTCAGCTTTTTTCCATCTCCACAACATTGCTCATCTTCGCCCCCTGCTCTCCACGAAAGACACTGAGTCTTTGGTCCATGCTTTCATATCATCCCGCTAGACTATTGCAGCTCCCTTCTCATTGGTGTTCCTTACAAATCTATCCAGCCTCTTCGGTATTTACAAAACTCAGCTGCTAGAATTCTCTCTCCCTCTAAAAAATCAGATCACATCACCACAATTCTATCTCAGTTAGACTGGTTTCCCGCCCCACTTCGTATCCAGTTTAAAGTCCTCTTGCTAACTTACTTAGGTCAAGTTAAGTCAATGTTTATTTATACAGCACTTTTTACAACAGGTGTTGTCACAAAGCAGCTTTACAGAAAAATCCGCCCCATGAGCGTCGCCAATGGTGACAGTGGCAAGGAAAAACGCCCTAAGAGCAAGAGGAAGAAACCTTGAGAAGAACCAAGACTCAAAAGGGGAACCCATCCTCCTCTGGTCAACACCGGACAGCAAACAGCATTAGTATAAAATATTAGAATACAAAATGGGGAAAAACAGGTGGAGCAATGGTTAATTAGATAGTTTGAGTTTATGCAGCAGCAGCAGCAGCAAGAGAGTCAGTTTGCACAGCTTTGTACAGCGTGAAACTCCATGGTGGTTGAAACTCTGGTGGTAACTCTAGCAGCTCTGGCGGCTCCCATGTGGCGACTCAGGCAAACATCGCTTAGGGGCTCAAATAAAGGGAGAGAGAGCGAGAGCGAGAGAGATAGAGAGAGAAAGAGAAAGAGAGAGAGAGAGAAATTGATTAACAGGACAGGTCCGTTTATGGAGAGATATTAGAAATTAATAGTGCAAACAACTGATATTAGCAAAATGCTTGTGCACAGATAAGTTTTGAGTCTAGTTTTAAATGTAGAGAGTGTGTCTGAGTCCCGAAACTTACCAATCTCTACATGGTCTAGCACCAGCTTACTTAGCTGAGCTCCTGCACTCTTACTGCCCTCCCGAACACTTGAAGGTAGGCCACTGTTGGAGGCAGATCTTTCAGCATCATGGCCCCCAAACTATGGAACACATTACTGCAATCTCTCTATGACTGTCCCTTACTTTTTCTCAGCTTTTTCACTCTTTCACACTTTTTCCTTCCACCCCCTGATGTCTGGAGAAGTGAAGTTTATTTGTTTGCGCGCAGGTACCAGACAACTAGCCAGCCCGTAAGACAGTGTACTGATGCAGTTTTATAGCTGGACAGATGCCAAGATTAGGCTCAGCCTATGCATAACAAGTGACGAGTGTGACAGACATGAGCATGTAGGGAAAAACAAGAATAGGTAGAGCTGAATGTTCTAAATACAATCACGGTACAGGCAACACACAATACGGAATGCAATGACACACAACACAGCACAAACACATTACGAAGCAGTACATTTCTACAGGGTTAGTAAGAATCATTACCTCCCTGATCTGATATCTTTCTCACAAATTCCTTTGCTGTCTTCAGGTTGCTCCCTGTGGCTTGGATGAGCTCAGATTTCCAGACCTCTATTTCATCATCAAAGGCGATCAGCCCGAAGTGGTCTTCCCCAGCAAGATCTCCTAAGATCTTCAGCAATGCCTGACGGGTCTGGTATAAGAAGGTTCCATCATCAGCTCCATCTACATTCTACACTATATACATGCTCAGAAATGACAGCATTGCCTTATTTCTACTGACTGTAACCATATTTGATTGTATGATTCAAATGTATTGTAGTACATAATCATGATAAAATGAAAATAAATAATTGAAACCTTTCAGAGAGTATTTAATGGAACCTAATATGCTAGGTTATTCCACACATTTCACATTTGCTAGTACAGTTCTCCTTATTTACCTGTTGAATTTTCCGTCCGTGCATGGAGCCACTTCGGTCAATGACAAAGACCACGTTTTTTGGGATTCTCTCAATATCTGTGGGTGCGAAATAGTGGACAAAATAGCCATTTGATGCCTACCAAAAAACAATAAGACACTAGATTAGAGAAAGTGAAATTATATTATTTTTAAGCACAGTAACAGAAATCAGGGGTGGAAATTTGCTCTGACATGAAGGGGGATTAAAATCTTATACTGCAATTCAAACAAAAAACTGTAAAGAAGGACTCCTGCACTTAGAGTTACCATATCATTGTAGAGCTAATGTAATCTAGATTGATATACCTAATCAATCTAAACAAACAGTAAATAAAAAATAAACTAATGTTACGTGTCATGTATTACTCAGTATATCGTTTTTTTTGTCCCGGTTTTGTTTCATTGAAATACACTGAAATAAGCTGTTTGTCTCTTCTTGTCGCGACACATCAGATGTTTCCAATCCCAGCCATGGAAACACCACATTTGGAGCATTTTTGTGCGTTTTCTCATCTAGCACACTCATTAACTAATGAACAGGCTCCTTGTGGATTAGGTCTGGTGTGTAGAGAAAACACAAAAATGTGCAGAGTTCAGAGTCCTCAGAGTAAACAGCAGAGTAAACACTGAGACTTTAGACAGCACTGCTGCACAGTTCTCAAATCTTTTGAGCTGCAAACTGCCAAAAATGCAGCTTGGGCTTTATGAAGAATGGTGTACTGTACGTGTCTTTTTCTTCTGCTTTAACTGTGTCATGTTGTACATTACAATAAAACAGGTACCTTCAGTTCTCCACTGGGTTTTGATCTGTCTACATCATACATTATGATCAGGTCTCCATTCATTCCTTTTGGTCCACAAGCTTCACACTTGGTCTGCTGCTCAAGAGTTGGATAGAAGTTCACCCACACCTGCAATTCCAAACGTATAAGGCTCCTTATTGCGTACCAGTTATGTGAAATGTAGCATATCATCACTGTTGTATCTCCAAAATGGTAATTTTACAGGAGAAAGAAAAAGTTGTTTACTTATTATGAAAGTCAATGTAACCAGATTTTTTTTGCCAAGTAATTTTGGAAGATTTCTCTGGATCTGTTCATCATGAAATTCTGAAACAAGGCAAAAGGTAACTGGACTTTTCAAATTATACAAAAGTCAGTTACACTTTTTCATATAGACTTATACTATACATATATATATACATATATATATGTATATACATATATATATATATATATATGTAGCTACTTTTTCGTACAGTTTAACATTTTACTCTTTAAACTTATACAGTTCACATTTTTCTGTATCATTTTTCAGTCAATAAAGTTTACTATTGTTAATGTGTTTATTATATATTACAGCTTTTATTTTTAGTGTAGAAAAGTACAGAAAATATTTATTTTCATAAATAATATGAACATGATGTAGTAATGAGAGTGAGTTAAAAGAAATCACCCATGGTTCAAACAAACAGTCCTTTTATTACTTATTACATTGCATTCTTAACTCTAACTTCATTGCATTTTTTATTACGAAACATCATAAATGTGACTAATTTAAGCTTTTAATGAATGAATATCATATGTATTAATGCTTGACTGATCTTAACCCTTGTGTGGTGTTGATGTGTTTGTTACTTAGTGGTGTGTTGGACCCACCGCATTATTGTTTTTAAATCAATACAGCCAAAACAATTTATGTTAAAATACCACATTTAAAATATCACAAGTGTCCAGTGTAGGGTTCTCCTTTAGCAGTCCATGTCGTCCACCCTCACACACACACACACACACATATACAAACACATACACACACATATACACACACACACACACTAACAGCAGGCCATGTAGGAGGAGAATAGAGTGAAGGACACAGCACCTCCACACTTTTACTCCCCGCAGGTTCACCCAACACCACATGTGTAATATAAATGTGTGTGGGGTGAACAGAGTGAAGACACTGAAAATGGGTTATTTTATATGTTCTTCACAGAAAATGAGCAAAGGACAAGAATCTGAGGTTGAAATAGTAATAAATCAAATTTTTCTTTTGCTAAACATTGAAAACAGGTCCCACAGACCTGAACACCACACAAGGGGTAAATCATTTCTGATATGTTACATATTAGATGCTGATGTAAAAAGATCAGTACAGTATTACTAGAGCATATAATTCTCACCTCTTTACCAGATCGTGTAGAGGTTACAGCATTGGCCAGCTCATTAGTGTTCAGCCCTCCTTTCACTTCCAGTAGGGAAATACCTGGACTCTCATGGATGTACACATCAATCTAACAGAGACACAGGTTTAATGTGGCTCTCAGATTATCTCCAGAAAGCAGAAGAACCTGATGTTCTACAATTCTCTTTGACGGTCTTTGACATCATCACAGTGAAAACTGACTTGAAAGATTCGGAATTAGCCTTTTATGTTTTAAACTAAATATCAGAGTTGTGGTTGTTGGCTTTTGGGTTCCTTACAGTACCTTGAAGTCTGCTACAGGCTGCATTGGTTGGGCATTGATGAGTAGCTCATATTTGCCAAGGCGTCGCTTTAGCAGCTCCTCATAGGTGAGTTCAAAGGTCACTTTACTGAAAGCGGCCACTGTCACTGAGGTTTTAAACTCCTCCAGAGTCCTTCCTACTGAGCTGAGATGCATGAGAACACACGGCATTAGTACATTTGCTATGTATGTGCTAATTACAACCCCGTTTCCATAAAAGTTGGGATGCTGTGCAAAATGTAAATAAAAACAGAATGCAATGATATGCAAATCATTTAAACCCTACACAATAAAAAGATGGTATTTCATTGGTTCTTTAGTAAAGAAGTAGTAGTAACAATGGTTCTATATAGAACGTTGAACACAACGTTGCATGATTAAAGGGTTCTTTGCATGGTGAAAGCGTTCTTTAGATTATGGAGAATGTGGTGTAGGTGGTTCTATACAGCACCAAAAAGGGTTCTGTTATTGTAACAACCTTGACATCATAACAATAGAAGAACTCTTTCTGGTGCTATATAGAACCCTTCTTGAAAAGGTTCTGTATAGCACCTTCTTCAGCACATTCTCAATCAATATAAAGAAACCTTTGACCAAGCAAAGAACCCTTTGATCATGCAGAGTAGTTGAGGACAAATTCGTTAAGTCAGTTAAGGGGAGGGAAGTTTTATAATAATGTTCAGGTATATTTGTAATATGAACAGATTTTGATCCTCCCAGCTGGGTGAATGTAAACAGAACTATAAACAGTTTTTGTAAATTCTTTTCTGTTGTAGTACCTGACTAATCCGGCACTTTCTCCCCGAGACACTGCCTGACTGTACTGCTGCTGAGCCTCTTCTTTCTTCTTCACAACTCCATCATACGTCTTCCCCTCTATGGTCCTGAGAAAAATATTTTTACATATATCATAGAAATTTAAAGTGAAAACAATATTTAATCGTTATTGTGATAAATCTTGTCACTTATGTCAAAGTATGTTTTTTTGAGTACATGCTGAATATTGGAAGTACTTAAAGAACACAGATTTAGTTCTGTCCAATTGGATTTAGGGCTATTTGTATTTGTATGAATACAAATCATTGTATTCATAGTTTTTGATCGTATTTTTTATGGCACTAATCTGGCTTCTTTTTCTTTCCTTTCCAATTATTTCTTTCCTTTACATTTATATATTAAGTCCAATTAGTAGCGTGTGGTTTAGTGAATCCAGCCTCTTTAAAAACTCTACTTTATATTATACGAGCAGTACATGCCTCAGGTCACTTTAGGTTTGTGTTCATGTTATATTCACTCACATTCTGAATTTGCTGATGAAAGCATTCTTGGGAATCTTGACCTGGAAATGGACTTCTTTGGACTCATTGAAGCGGTTTGCCACACGGCTCGTGATGACTGTGATGGCGTAGCGGCTGGTTACCGTGGTGTTTATGTGGAAGCTGTAGATGTCAATGTCTTGTTCCTGTGTGTAGGAAAAACAATAAAAGTGTGCAACTGTTAATGTTTTCTAACTACTAATACTGGGATGTCTGGTGTCTTAGATGCTGATTTTACTGCTTCAGTTTCTGAAACATACTGCAAACAAGCACTTCCAGCAAGGATGTGGTAAAAAAAAATAGGTTATTTGGGAAAATGTATCCCAGCAAGAGGACAATAAAAGAGTTAGAGTAACTGTAAATTTGATGTATTTATTTTGATTTTACATTCTTATATAAAGCTGTTGGGCAGATTACTTAGGAAATTAAGAGTGAATACAAAAATTACATCACTAAAAATACTAAAATATTACCAGTAACATAATATTTTAGATCACTTGGAGAGGTGTTGGGCGTTGTAAGGCAAAACGGTCCCCACATGTATTTTTCCAGTTTTTTTCCTATACCATCACCAATATATATATATAAACGTAGAACACACCTGTAGGTTCACTGGTAGTTTTGGATAGTAAATAAAATGGCTTTGCATTTTGCATTTCACCATCAGCAAGCCTGACTGGCTAAAATGACAATAATCACGCAGGCAACACCTTGAATTGAGTTGAAGCTGATTATTAAAATCGTTATAATCTTGTTAACACTGAGAATAAAATGGAGAACAGAACTATTTACTCAGCAGCGAGCCGAACGACCGTTAGATCCGTTGAGATTTAAATTTGAAATGAGTGACAGCGCGCGCGGGCTGCCACAGAGATGCTGATTCACCAGATGAACTCAGCTTACCCAGCATTAAAGCCCTACAAACTCTGCTGAGGACATAAACCGGACTCCGACCTGTTTATCGATGGTTTTGCCTGCATCTTTCTCATCTTCTTGTCTTGTACATCTTCTACAAAGTCGTCCAGTCAGGCTACTTATCAACAAACTTTTTGTTTTATAGCAAATGTAATGCAATTTTGGTTCATTAGAAATTCGATCGAGGTTTTGTTGAAAAACAAACGATGGATAATATTGTTAACTTGGCTAATCATAAAAATGGACAGTGCTGTTTAACGAAGAGCCATTAAGGAGCCTCGCTGCGGAACCAAAAGTCCAGGGGTAGGCTGGATCTGATCCAACTCCTCCCACGTCGTGTTTTAATTGGTCTGAACTAGAGTGGAGCTGATAAAATGAACAGTGAGTGTAGAAACAAGGTAATGAGCTAATAAAGTGGCTTATTAGGGCATATGACATTTAATGTTTTTAATGTTTTTTAGGCATATTGAGTCATTTTTATTAGACTTATGGAAATGTGTGGCAGTAATACCAAATCCTTTTACATGTAAAAAAAAGTCGTTATAAAGATTTTTATTATGAAATTCCAGGATTTGATAAAGCACAGTTATGTGGGTTATTTTGACCTGTCATATGTGCATTCTAGTGTTTAAAAACGTTCAGCGTTTTCAACCAGAACCCGTCTATCATAAGTACCTTGAGATGTAGGCCTACAGAACGGACTTTGTACCAGAATGTGAAACAAGCTTTTCGAGTTGAGACAAATGAGTGTGAACGTCGTGAACCATGAGCGATTATAAAGGCTGTGTTGACACCAGCATCACCTGCGGGTTTCCCCACAGGTAAAAACACAGGGTAGACCAATGAAATGAGTCGTAGGCGGAAAACGTGAGCGACACATACTAATTTAAAGACCGATAGAAATGCGATGATTTTAGACCAATGAAAAGAAGACGTGGGCGGAGTTGGATCAGGTCCGGCTACACCCCTTTGGACTTCTGGTTCTGCAGCGAGTGATAGTTGGAAACAGCCGACTCTTAGTGGTGAGCTGAGGCGATTGATCTGACTCCCTGAAATAATCTATGCATAAAAACGACCAATCATCTACATGACTACATGGTCCGACTTAAACTAGCCAATCACTGTAAACTCGTTGAATAACTCCGCCTACTTTAGTCACGTTTTACGCCACGTTTCAGAGCGCGAAATGGCGAAACGGTTAGAATCGCAGCGCCGTTGAGAAGCATCGAGAAATCTTGTGACTTGACTTTAAAATACCTCGATATTTGAAGGGTCCAACCTGAAAGTTGTTTAACAGATGTTACTGGAACACGGTTAGTACTTTTATCCCATATTGAAGCTTTTAAACCCGTTAAGAGTGACCTTGTTAATGGCGCTAATGTGGTTAGCAAGCGAGCTAAGTTAGCAAGCCAGCTAACTAACGTTACCCGACGGTTGTGCTTGTTTTCGGACTATAGCCTCATAAAAGTCTACCTTGTACGGTATATCGTTCAAGAAAACGGATATTTTACTTTGTAATATATATTTCTACGTAAGTGTTGGCTTGCTAAGAGAAAAAAACAATGAGATAAACGTAATTTAGGTGTGTAGCTGTCCTTTACTAAGGTAATAGCCGTTTGTGGCCGCCATTTCATGTTGGCGCGCATTTATATCAGCTCCGTCATGGTGTTCATATACTATAAATAAACTATAGTTAGAGAATATATAACTGCAGTGGTCCACGCAAAGTATTTTCAGACTTGTGCCATGCTCAAAAATGTATTAAGTTCATTGTGTTAGCCAGTAAAAACAAATTTCAAGTGGCATTTATTTTAAACGGACCGTTCCGAGACTGATTTTCAGAATGCAGCTGGTGAGTTTCAGATCATTATTTCTTTGCAGATTTCTGCAGGTTTGTATCCAGAACATCTTTACGCACTTCTAAGTTCTTGACACCTTCAAAGCACCATTGTAAGACCAACAGCCCCATATTTTGAGATCTCCCTCTTCACAGAACCAGTCTGGATAGAGTTTTTCTCCAGACTTTCTCCACATATAGTCTTCCAACAGTGTGATGTTTTGCTGTAGGTGTTTTCTCTGAAACAAATATTTTTGTGAAGTAACATAGTTTATTAAAGGTTAAAGGTTTAAAGTGTCCAAATTTGTTTTGTGGCCAAATCTCCTATTTCCTATGCATTGTCACACTATGACCCTGTTTTTGTTAACAGCTCTGGTGTTTGTCTTCCTCGACTGTGTACTTCATCCAACCGTGATTACTGCATACATGATACACCGAGCTACAAGACAGAGACTGCAGACTGTAGAAATATGACCATCAGGGACCAACTTTCACGTTCATAACTACACTCAGTGAGGATTAACTGCAGTGAGGTAAGCCTGATAATTGAATCCACTAGTGGTTTTGAATTAGATTTATAAGGGACTTGGAAAGCTATGACATTTCCAGACAGGTCCTATTTAAGCTGGTGTGGAATGACCCATGGTGGTTACCGGATAATAAATCTTTTAATGGGACAGCTGAACTTTCTTTTGCTTTTTTTTAAATGAGAGAGTTTTATGTAGTATATAAACACTGTTGAGAGTGTTTGTTTCAAAACGTATCATTCACTGTCTGGTCTGTACCGTCAATATATAGAAATAAATGGCAGCTCGTTTCAAGTTCAGTGTTTTGTGATGTCACAAGAACCTGTTCATTTACATGGGTCCACCTATTCAGCCTGAAGCTGTTCAGCACCAAACATGTTTGCTTGTAAGGGATATGGAGAGGTTGGAAAATGGTCATGTAAAAGTTAATTATAACAATTTTTGATACATAAAACCAAACAAATGTTAAGAATGGACGTGAGAGGAAAATAATTACAAGAAAATACATATTATTATATGAGCTCTTTTATATTAAAAGCTGAATAATTAGCCTGTAGTTTGTGGCTTAATAATGTACATTGTCAAACAAAACCAAAATTAACGTAACACCAGCTTCTGTACCCTGTAATAGAAGAAAAAGACAACAGATGTTCCTTGCAGTGGGGTATTAAAATGACAGAAGTCAGTAATGCTTTGGTAATGAAGTGGAACAACCTGGGCAAGTCTTCTTACTATTCATAGGTCAGACTAAGCAGGTGTCAGGACATTATGGCCACATATGATCACTCCAGTGAGCATTTCAACGCTGAATTATTATTGTCCTTTAGTCTGTATCTGATGACTCTTCATTTCGTAATACTTCCTATGAATCCTGTATTCATAATGCACTATAAATGTATTTATGAGGTGTTATATAGCATACATAACACCTTTTACTCCTTGTTTTTGAGTGTCTCCTTGCTCCTTGAAACTGAGTTATAAGGGTAGTGGTTGAAATCTTCCCTACTAAATAGGACCCTCAAATAAAAATAACATTACTTCATTAACAGCTACTAGCGCTGCTCCGTAGGCGACCCTGCCAGTCTGCAGTGACAGCAGAGGAGGGTAAAGTTCAGCTCCTCACTACAGGGCTTTAGTTATATTTAGGGAATCATATGCCTTCAAAGAGGAGCAATTATTTATTATCACCCATCCCAAATTCTTCAGTGATATGAAGTTGAAGTCAGATATTCACCAGATTCTTGCTCCAGTTTTCCCGTTCCACCTTAAATGGAGCAGAAGTTCTGATGCCTGAGGCTCATAATGAATTGCATTTATATTCAGTGTACATTTTGTGTTGAAATAGATTTTGACAAAAGACAAAATTGGGACCAGAATGTACATGATGTTTTTACCTTATGCAAAACAAGACTGTAGACACAACAAAAACTTCATCAGATTCAGATCAAACTAGAATATCTTCTATGTCCTACTTACAAACACAGATATGGTCTGAATTTAACGTTCTTTCCACACAATTTCCAATTCACTCTTTCAAAGGGGCACAAGTTAGAAGTAGTTTATATAAAATATAGTATGCTTTCGTTGTTACTGCAAACGGCCCTGTAATTTAATAAACAAACAGCTGATATATATCGTGACCTCTGACCTTACCTTACTGGTTGGCGCGGAGGTGACACAGATGAGTAAGAATCCAAGGACAGTCGCTATGATTGTGGTTCGATCCATGGTGACTCCAGTAGCACTGAGGCTTTACAGATGCACACATTTAAAACAGACCCTGCAGGCGTACAGTCTCTGTCATTGGTTAGTTGTGTATTTACACAGAGCGACCACAGTTTCTGTCACTGACCTCTTACAACTCTGGCGCATGAAGAGCTGGCGTGAGGACTGATAAAATGCTGTTTGTTTATGACTAACAGCTCACTAACTTACTGTGGCTAGGCATTAAATGGCACTATATTGAAGATGTCAAAGTAATTTAACCGTTGAAATGTAAACAAAATCATTCAGAATAGTTTACTGTAAAACTTTTGATTGTAGAGACTTACATTTCTTTACAGTGGTGGTGATAGGAGCCAGGGGTCGCTATGACTACATATACACACTGTGAACAATTCTGACTATAAGTTTCTCTAGAACAAAGTGTTTCACACCAAACCACTCTGAATGACTTTGTATATGCATTAATCATATAAATAACAGGAATTTGGAACTTCTTTCCCTACTAAAGAGCACCTTTGGTCATTTTGGTGACTCCTTTTAGCACTTTTAGCAAAATTCTTCCTATAGTCAATTTTGTTTGACACTTTTTCACAATGTCTTTTTTTCCTTTTTGAACTGTTTATTTTGTTCAAAACAGCCCAAAACAGAATACAGCAGAAATGGTGTATTTACTGAGATGAGCTCTCTGTTTACTCCTGAGGTTTGCTGCTCGCCTCCAACAAAAACATACAGAAGAAAATCGATGTGGACCTTCAGCTCAGAGTAGGTCAAGTACTACATTGTGTTTTGACATTTTTCAGTCAACTGACTGATCTATGCCTTTACAAAAACTTAGATTTAGTGTTATAGAAAACTATGGTAGAGAGCTGTTCAAAGGGCCCATATCCTACATTTTTCTAGTATTAGTATTTTTTACCTCCAAGGTCCACTTATTACATTTGTGTGGTTTCATGTACCAAAAGAAACATGATTTTAAACATGATCATTTTCCATCTTCTCTTAATCCTTTAGAAAAAGCACTCTGCTTTTGTGACTGTTTCTTTAAGACTTGCTTATAAATTAGCTCTTTTCTGATTGGCTGTCCTGTAGCGTACTGTATTTGGAAAGATCTCACAGCCGAAACACTATATATGTATATATATATATATATATATGTATTTGTGTGTGTGTATATATATATACATATATATATGAATGTATATATATATATACATATATATGTATATATATATATACACACACGTGTTGGTTTTCGTGTCCTCACAGATACAGGTAATTTAAAATAGGCCACTGAAGAAGGAAGCATGGAGGTCTGGAGATAATGGCTCTTGTTCATCAAAGTTACGTAGAATCACATCTGATCGTAAAATGAGCTAACGCAAATTTCATGGCAGTTTTGTGATTAATTTGGCATATGTGTATGATAAAGCACACATCTGATAGGACTGTGTGTAAATTTGAGCGTAACCATTTAATAAACTAAAAAAAAAAAAAGCTTGACTTATGGTCAGCTAACCAAAACTATAATCAATATTATCTATAATAACAATCATAATAATAAATATAGACAATAACAATACTACTAATAATTGTGAACATGGCAGTCTAGTACAAAAGTAAATGTGCTTATTTTATGTACACATTGTTATAAACAAATGCTATATTCCATTTAAAGACATATTACACTGTGCTTCTGTTTTATACTACTGACTCCGCCCACAAAATAAACAATATGAAACACAGCTAATGCGGAAGCGTCTCATAGACTGCAAAAATACAGCACTTACATGTGCATATGATATCAAAGTAATCACACTACACAATCGCATCATTCTACCGTATCAAAGGAACTCAAGCTAGCTAGCGAATCACTATCGTTAAGCTAACTGAACTGTTTTTGCAAGAGGTACTGCTTTTTTTACGGGATGTAAATACTTCCCTCTGACTCACTTTCTTCTCCGACTGCTGTTTCTCGCCTCGTCCCTCCCCTGTGTGTGCGTCACTCACTCATCGTAATGCACAATGCTCATCATAATGCACAGATCTGATTGGCTGAGTAGCGTCACGTGTGATACTTACAATGCATGCGTTTGGTCCGACCCATGGTTCGGACTGCCTTTTAGTGACCTCTGATCTACATGCTTCATTGAAGTTTCTGACACAGTTGTTGTCTATGTTGATGAGCTCACCATTGCCTCCTACTTTGAGCTTGGTTTAGAAATTTGTATGCAGTTTATTTCCACCCTAATAGGTTTACATTTCCACCCACATTTAGCCAAACATAGATGTCCATAGATGTTCTCATTACGAGTTCACGCCTGGCCCACGAGACCAGGGCTGCACAGAGGGAGGTGAACAGATAAATCTCGCCTCCAAACATGTTGAGCTGTTTGATCTGTAATGTAATGTTTTACAAGTGGTAGTAAAAGTATGAGTGTTTTTTGGCGTGGTTGACCCAACACTGGCACAGAGGTGTGTAGATTAGTCTAAAGCCTCATCTCAGCCTCAGATGCTCCACCTACAGATGGAGTGTGTCTGCTGAATGCTAAGCTGGCCACAGTTGTAGGGAATTTGTCAGTTGCAAAAGGAATGCAAAAGTGTACATACTTCAGTGCACCGGTCTTAATCTGTCCAATGAGAAACAGTTATCTGCTGTCATTGTGAGTCTTTTGGAGAAACATATATTAGCTGCAAATGTGTCTTTGCTGTAGCCCTGTTTTAATAATCGTCTGCCCCTACACATCACTAGAAAAACAACGTTCTGTTGTTCATGTTTGCAGGCAATTGTCCCTTTTTTCGTCAAAGCAGGTGGTTCTTGGCCAAATTAAGCAACAGAATGCATCAGACTTGGTGACAATAAGTAGAAGTCTGGCTTGCGAGACAACCTAAACCCATAGTCAAGAATAGGGGTGCAACAATAAATCAACCTAGTCGACTTAAATCGATGAACAAATTAGTTGGCGACTAATTTAAAACTCGTCGACTAAGTGGATGAAGAACATTCATCTCGGTAAGATAGCTGTGCTAGTGGACTAGTTAGCTAATGTTAAAGTTAAAAGCCGTCCTACTTCATGTTATGAGCCGAGCTGTAACATTTTCTGTTTCGAAATTCATGTTCTCTGGAATCGTTCGTGGAGTTGGAGCAAAGAAGTAAGTTCACTTTCCAAATAACGTTTAGAATTTTAAATAATGTCTCATTGTCTAAACGTCGAGGACACCGGTGCGTTCAAATTCGGCGAACATAGGAGAACATTTGCAAACAGTTCTCTGTTTTCCGCTAACGTTTGCCACCACTTGCAAACAGTTTCAGGAGGTAGTTCTCCGTGAACATACAGGGCAGCTGTGCAAAGAGTTACTGCTGAAACAAAATGTTCAAATTTAACTGTTCATAGAGAACAAGTTTGCCACAAACGTCCACCACTGCTTGCTGAATTTGAACAGGACTCACGTTTATGGCTGGATGTTGGATAGAGTGTTGATCATAGATATACATACATAGATGCTGCGCTGGGTTCCGCCAGACAGTCGCCATTCTGGGGAGGTCAACATGGCTGCTGGACTGCATCCAGTACCATTACAGAGGGGCAGTTTAAGAAAGGTTCTGTCCAAAGTTACACAACTTCAGGAACATTGCATTCAGAAAGCGGGACAGGTTTATATATGTAACGGAGGGAACGCAGTTTTTCCCAAATATATTTATCTCTTGGTCATAACCTAATGTTTAAAAATAGAGCAATAAAATGAAGAGCCAAGCCAAGACAACTTCAGAAATATAACTGCAGTGGGTCATGATACAGTTATGTTTTCTAACTAAAGGTACTGAAGATGTACCCTTGAGGGTACCACCCCAACTTCTTGGTACATCCAGCATCTACAAGCCTAGGTACTGAAGTTTGTTGTTCATCTCTTTTTGGATCTTTTTGGTTTAAAATAAAGGCTAAATACCCAGAGTCAGAGATGGGATCAATCTTAACACAGTACGGATGCTGTCAGCAACGTACAAGAATGAAATGAAACCTAAACAAAATGTAAGCGAATGGAATTAGGTACTACTCACTTCTGACAGCTATCTCCAACTAATGTTGGGAGAAAATGAAAAATGTGTTGATTTTCTTAAACAAAAAAAAAAATACTTGAGATTAAGTCATTTTTATTCTTTCAGCAAAGGTTTAACACTTTTGATACCTTAAGCACATCTTAAGCTATTTCCGCAGAAGATCTTCTGAAATCTTCAGCTCTCTAACTTGCTAACATAGCTGTTACATTACTGATCACAGACAGGGCATCCCTACAGTAAACTTTTAAAACCACAGTGTTACTTAGGGCCAGCATTAAAAGCGTTTTATTTTCTTCCATGTTTTCTTCCAAACTGTTCGGAAGATAGCTGTGAAATTTTTAGCGGCATTTTTGTCAGAGAGCTCTACAGCTGAGACACAGTGAAGTCACAGGGCTCCCTTTGCAAGACACACGACGGGGGTACAAGCCAGCAATCCACACTTGGGGCTGAAGCGCGTCCATAGTCAGTGGCGTTGCTCCTGACGCTAAAAAAACACGCGTTTAAGATAAAAAAGCAAATAAAGAGAAAGTGCTGTAGTGTGTTTATTGTATTTAGTGTACTTATGCTTGTGCTAGGAGTTGCTGATCCTTGATTTTGATCCCTGATTCTAATTGTTCATACTGAGCATCAGTTTTCCCTTAAGCAGAAAATAAAGATGAGGACTTTGTTCACAGTATTAGAACAATAACAGCAGCTCGGACAGTGGACAGTCTGATGTTTTGTTAGTTTTTGTTGGTGTTCCTTTAAAGCAGAGATATCAAACTCGACCGCTGTTTAGTTGTATTACAGGTACAGCTTGAAGCAGCTGTATGTATCTTACTGAAGAGCACTGCTGACACACCTTAAAGATTAGGTAGATTATTTTCTTGAGGAAGCATATAGGCAGTAGAACCTGTAGCCCTCCAAATCAGTGTCTCTATTCCTGGGATGTGTCTCAACTCAGAATTTCTATAATTTCTATCATTTTTATTTATTTAATTATTTTAGTGAGGACTAAAACGTGTACTTGTACTCTGTCTGAGAAAAATGGTATCGATTCATTCCTACT